TTCTTTACTTGAACGCACAAAGTGGGGTGTCTAAGTTGTCCTCTTTCAATTTTTTTTTTGCTTTTTTTTCTGTTTTTTTTCCTTCCAAGCTCTTCCCATCCTCCCTAAACTTATTGTAGCTCTGAATATTCTTCTCTAATGATCATGTGCACATAAGTGAAGGGTGAGATGAGAAAATATTATTAAAAGCTAGGTCCAATTGCGGGTGACAAAGAAAAAGGTTTAAACAAGCTCAAAAGGGGTACTAGGGATATGTATTGCGCACGGGTTGGCTTGAAAGGCTCAAACGATCCAAACATAGCATAAATCCTTTCCTTAATATGGTGTGTCCTAAGATTTCATGTCAAGTGACAATCAAACCGGTTCTAGAATTCTTGTGAGATCAAAGAGTTTGCTTAGGTCACATAATCTTTCTCTAAGTAGGCAAAATGATTAAACAATTTTAAGCTAGTGCTCAGAATGTCACAGAGTCCCAGGTAAAGCATAAATTAACAAAAATGATCAAGCACACACACAAAATACAATATTCATCAATTTCTCCCAAGCTAAAAGCAAGTAAAACCAATCTCATCATCGGCCTTGGTGTCATCACTTTTACTCTTTTTTTTTTGAATGAAAGAGAAAGAAATAAGAAGATGAATGAATAGAATAGAAACAAAAAAATGAAACATTCAACTAAACTAACATATTCTAAGAATGAAGGAAACATTCCCCGTCATTAATGGTCGGCTTCATTGGTACCCTTTCGGTATGCGTTGTGAACACTTTTATGTTTAGACTTAGACAGAAACATTGTCCTCAATGCTTTGATAAAGAAAATAGAAGGGCAGAGGACATACTTGGGCGACGATGTCAGGTGCCTTCGCCATCATCATCATCATCGTTTCTAGAAGCTGGCAGGAAATGGATAAATATTGGCGCCGAATAGCCAAGGGTTAAGGAATTCTTTTTCTGGGTCTTCAAACTTGGGCATTCTTCCTAGATAGTATACTACAATGCTGTTGCTACATTCCTATTGCTAGCTTTATCCGGTTCCTTCTTAGGGGGAATCCCGCATGCTTTATCTTGCCTTTTAAATTGCTTTGGAGCCTTTACTGAGTTCTTTTCACACAATGTCTTCTTTATATTATCCATCCGGTAACAAGTCTCAGATCCCCGTGGACCCTTGAATGGACTGAATACATTAGAAGTTACTATCTCATTCTTCACTTCTAGACTCAACTCCCCTTTCGAAACATTAATCACAACATTTCCGGTAGCTAAGAATGGTCGTCCTAAGATTAAAGGAATATCTTAGTCTTCTTCCATATCCAGTACTGTGAAATCAACCAGGAATATCAATTTGTCCCCTTTTACTAACACATCTTCTAAAATGCCCCGTGAGTACTTGATGGAACGATCGTCCATTTGGAATAGCACAGTTGTGGCCTTTGGTTCTCCTAAGCCCAATCTCTGAAAGACCGACAATGGCATGAGGTTTATACTTACTCTAAGGTCACATAATGTTTTTCCAAAATATGAATTTCCAATAGTGCAAGGAATGGTAAAACTACCCAGATCTTTTAACTTTGGTGGTAAATTCCTTTGAATGATAGGACTACACTCCTCAGTCAATGCAACTGTTTCAAAATTCTCCAACTTCCTCTTGTTAGAGAGGATGTCCTTCATAAACTTCATGTAAGTTGGCATTTGAGCTAAGGCCTCTGTAAATGGAATGTTGATGTGGAGCTTTTTGAATACCTCTAAAAACTTAGCAAATTGGTAATCCATATTCTTTTTCTTTAACTGTTGAGGGAATGGAATTCGTGGCTTGTGCTTTTCTACCATAACCTCATGCTTTTCAATCTCTTCCCCTACATTCCCACTTGCATTTTCATTGTCAATCAGTTGCTTCTTTTCTATACTCAACCTCACTGGTGGATCTTGTAGTTGCAAATCACTCCTTGTAAAAATAGCCTTGCACTGCTCTTTAAGATTAGGAATGGTATCACTTGGAAGAAAACCTTGTTGCCTTAATGAATTGGAACTTGTCAATTGGCCCATTTGCACTTCTAAGTTTCAGATTGCTGATGTTTGACTACTCAACAAGGTGTCTGTCTTTGCCATGTATTGCTTAGTGTCATTCATGTGTTACTTAGTAGTCAACATGAACTGAGAAAACATCTCTTTCAACAAACTCTTCTTTTCTTGTTGCACAAACCCTGGATGTGGGTTTAAGACATTCTGAGTGTTCCTGTAAGAGAAATTTGGATGATTTCTAGAACTTGGGTGATAGGTGTTTGAATTGGGATTCCATTACTGCCTATTGAAGTTCTCCATGTAGCTAGCTTGCTTCGCCACAGACAAACAACTCCCATTTTCATGATTGGCTCCACAATATTCACAATAATGAGTTCGAATATGCATCGAATTCACTTCCCTAGTATCCAGTTTGTTCACCAAAGCAGCCACTTAGCTCGTTAGAGCCGTCAAAGCATCAACCTCAAGTACCCCTGCAGTTTTTCTCACCATAGTTCGCTCCTTCAGATACTTGTAATCATTTGTAGCCATCTCATCTAGAAGATTGAAAGCCTCATCAACAGTCTTTCTCATTAATGCACCTGATTACGTCCAAACGTGTACAAAACAAGCGGTCAATTGTAGCACTATTAGGACGGTCGATCCCATAAGGAGGCGATAAATAAACAAGAAACGATTAGTAAATAAAAAGCTTTAGGAGATAAATAATAAAGTAAAAATAAAAGAGAATGAAAGTATAGTTGAGAAGTTCAAGTGTAAGAAAAATGTATGAAAAAATTATATAGTTAAAACCGGTAAGGTGTCGAGATTCCCCTATATGCTTCGTTCACCCGAATGGATTTTGATCTTTGAGATTACTCAATTGAAAGTTTCACATCCCAAACTAACAATCGAAAAATATATATTTGAAGAACATGTGAATTAAATTATATTTGAGTGAGTAAAATTCTTACGTTTAGTATTAGGAAAGATTATCTTATGAGAAATCTAAAAGCGACAATATACCATTGACAATATTGCAGTAAAAGACTACTCATAAAATAATACCTACCAATATATAGTATCATGCAACAATCACATAAAAAGAGCTTGACTAGATTTATATAAAAGTTGACAATAGAATATTTCAATATGAGAAATTAAAAGAAGATAGAAGAAAATTAATCACTCAAATATATAAATTTTGGAGAACAAATGGAGAATCAAAATCCACTCAAGATCACTTCACATATAGGTTTCTCTCTAACCTCACCAAAGAAAAAGAAAGTGTCTAAACTTAAGCTAGAATTCAACAACACTAATCACCTTGACAATGGTCCTATTTATAGAGTTTTTAGGGCATGTAAAAGAAAACACTCAGGAAAGAAAACATAAGGAACGTTTTATCCCATTGAATTGGATTTACAAGGCTTAATTCTGGAAATGAATGCTGAAATCAACCCAACGGAACCAAAACGGAACGCTGCTGAAGAATCCCAAATGGGTGGGACACGTGTCGCGCAAAGAGAGGCTGAGCGGAGAAAACTGCCGAGAGTTGGTTTCAACTTGACACATGGCGCATGCTGATTTGCGGAGAAGAAGAAGTGAACGACAGCTGCATCAGTATCCAACACGTGGCGCGCGCTGATTGGGAGGATGTTACAACGCGGGACCCACATGGAGAAGAAAGGAAAAATGCCTGACGCGCGCGTGAGAAGAACTCGCCCGGGGAGGAAGGCCGTGTGCATGTATGCGCGGGGACAGCTGGGTCCCACGCGGCTAAGGCGTGCCAGAAAATGACACGTCCGTATCCCTCTTACGACAGTCCATAACACAAATAGCATCGAAAAACTCACTAAGAAAAAGTATCAACTCCATTTACCTCACGGGTGTCAAAAATATTTTAATGCAAAGGGTTTTCACTCATGGAGTTGGAAGTCAATCAATCAATGCTCAAGTGAGAGAAGGCAATTTAAGGACAAGCTAATAAACAAACATTGATCAAATGATAGGCAAATCACATACCTGAAACAATCCATTACTCAAACTATAAACAAGCTTTCGGGATTTCATTCTAGTCAAGAGGAAGATCTCATAAACAAACAAAGAACCGAAAAATACAAACAAATATACACAAACATTTTTTTTGTTTTTTTTTATTTTTTTAAGGCAAGAGACAACATATATTTGATGAAGCTGATGTAGTAAGGCATTCTTTTGACTGGCTGCTATGCAGCATAAGATGTGAGTGCAACCAAACTACATAAACATTGATGATGAAATGATGCTCTTGCTCTTTTCTTTTTTTTTCTTTTCTTTTTTTTTTTTAGATAGAAAATACAAAAGAAGAGATAAATATTTACAACACATGGTTCAATTCTAAAAATTATTCCTAACAAAAAAAAAATCATCCCTCAAGTAAATGTCACAAGTCAAGCAATGGTGCTCCGTTAATGAATCAACCAACTCAAAAGATCAATGAAAGTTCAAAAAGCTGTTTTCTCAACTCTCACAACTCACCAAAAATGAAAACCTTAAACTCGGGAATTTTTCTCAACTAAATATGTTAACAACCATCTTGCCACAAGGGTTTGGCATGTGCTCAAAAATAACTTTGGAAATCATTTTTTGGTAATTAAAATAGCAAAAACTGACTCAAACTGAACATTTTGACATCATACTCAAATAATCTCGCAAAAATTTTGACCCAAAATAACAACAAGACAAAAATTAATCTCAGGCATGAATATGCTCACCACCCCTAACCCAAAATTAGACAGTGTCCTCAATGTCTAAAAATATATGCAATATGAAGAAGACAGGG